ATGCTGTGTACTTCTTTGAATCCTCTGAAAGTGGAACTTGCCAATATCCACTTTTTGAATCAAATACAGAAAATACTTTAGCTGAACCTAAATCTTCAATAGTGTCAGAAATTTTTGGCAAAATAGATGGTTCATCCAGGGTTATAGCATTTGAAGCACGAAAATCAATGCAAAATCTCGGTTTAGCTCCCTGCCGATCAACCAACACTATTGGAGAAGAATATTCAGAGTCACTGGGTTCAATGACCCCAGATTGTAATATATCATGAAGTTGTGTATATAAAATATCTTTTTTTTTTGGATAAATAGGATAAGGTCTCTGTTGAATAATTTTTTCTTCCTTAAGACGAATATGATGACTTACAGAATCTGTAGTAGGTTGATATTGATGATTAGAAAATAAATCTGAAAAATCTTGAAAAAGTGCCTGAAGTTCAGACTCATATTTTTCTAGGAATTTAAGATCTGATGGTAAAGGTAGATTACAATTACTAACGGAACTATACCGAAAAAGAGTTTTCCGCTGCTTATATTCTATGTAAGCACATTTACGAGGATATTCAAGAATAACATTATGTTCCCCCAAAAAAAATATTATATTAAACTACGAATAATATTCACTGCAGTACCAGAATCTGAAAGCATTTACATATTGATTATTAATAGACAATCTTGAACGGGGTAAATGAGCAACACGAGAAGTAACATTAACAGAATGGAATTGAGTATCAAAATTTTCTGTGAAATCTGACAAAAAACTAACATCTTAATAGAATTCCAGTGGCAAAGAAATAGAATGATTTTCTATGTTTAATTGTGGACTTGAGAATTCATTTAAGAATTTCTCTGCTGGTTGGTCCTGAAACCAGCAGCCCTTTGTAAGTTTTTCGACCTATATGGATTTTGAGGACAATCTCTATGAAAATGCATCTCATGACAATATCTACAGGATGAAGTATCATTAACATTTGCTGAATTTATTGAAGTTTCATTGGTATGATTACCTGTAGAATTCTGGCACGAATTTTTATTCTGTCCCGTTTGGGGGGAAATATAAAATGACTGCTTATTCTTCAAGTCTTGTAGATCTCTCTCCACATTAGTTGCTACTTTAACCAGTTCTTCAGTATTTAAGAATTCATTTGGAGACCACAAATTGGCTCGAAGTTCTGGTCTTAACTGGTTCAATATTGTTGCAGCTCTCATATCCTCTGATGTTGATGGAACTAGTCTCTGAAAAAGGTTACATTTTCGAATAATAAATACTTCCACTGACTCTAGTTCTCCTTGAAGTTCTCCATATAATTTAGAAGTTGCTTGAGCTAAAACTTGACTGGAATTATATATGTTCAAAAGCCTATCTATGAAACTTTTGTAACTCAAATCTAAAGGTTCTGCCCATTTCTCAGCATCTACCCTTAGGCTCCCAAGTACAAAGGAAACCTTATAATGATCTTCCTGAACATTATTTTGTTCGAAATAATGATTCACTTGTTTTATAAACTTTTATGGATCCTCATAATCATATCCATGGAACTCATATGGTAATAATGCCACTCTACTCTGACTTCGACGATGGCAATTTTCAGTAACTGTGTTCATTGCTTGAAGAAATGTTTCAGGAATTGCTTTAATTGTCCCTTCTAACAAAATATTCTGTCTATTATCATCTGAACTAGATGATAACATGGATACAGCTGAAATATTTTTGAAGGACTTCACCACATCATCCTGCCTGTTTTTAGTAGTGTAAGGTGTACTACATTTATTAGTTACAAGGGTCTTAAATGGATTGGTTTCTGACATACTTGTGAGTGAAATGGGTTGTGGGTCAGAGCATCCCTTCAGATGTCTTTCACTAGTGTCCATATTGAATGAAACTTGTCTTGGCAATTTAACAACTGAACTTCCCAAATGTCTTCGTACTGGTCCTTGTTCTGGTGTAAACAAATGCCAATTTTGATTCTCCATCATATCCTTTGGAATTATTCATCACTAGACGGGCCCCACGTATCGGGTGCCATGATCATGAATTATCTAGATGGTTTGGGCGCCAACTAGCTCAGTCGACCAGCTAGTAATTAATATAACAGATTTTATAATAGTTTAATTAAAAACTTGTTAATTTTCAATATAAAAAATATTGCTCGAGTTCTTGTGGTGGCGGCAACTACTACCTACTCATCATTTTTTTTTAATCCTCAACCCTATATCCTCTCTCTCCTTCTTCTTCGTTTTTTTACATCCACTTAAGAAGGCCCTACTACCTCAACATGTCGGTAGCTACACCCTTAGATCATTAAATCCCCTAGATCCTCAAATCCCCTTGATCATTAAGGCACTTTCGACAACACACCTTGCACCTTTGATAGGTTAGATACATCGAGTATAGCCGAACACATATTCAATCAAGCAAGTTAATTATATCGAATTAGATGTTTATAAGAGCCTCAAAATATTGGGGATCAGTTATAGAGTCACGAAAAAGAATATTGTACCTATTCCCTATAGCCCTCCGTATGATTTAGTGATATGGATTGAGGTATCATGTGAACTCCGCACTTTGTATATTTTACGATAGAAAAAGTGGAAATACCGAGTATTGTATGAGCAGCACATAGTTATCGAAACACATGTTTTGGTAAGTAATGAAACAGTGAAGTGGATTCTCCAGCCAAAGGTTTCAGTCTTCGATATCAAGAGTATTCACAGCTTTTTCAATCTCTAATGAAGATATAGTTATTGAACGTTTCGTGTTTTTTAACCCTTTCATCATTACATTCCACTCAGAAAATACTTTGGACTTCTACATTGAATTGGGAATATATTTTCGAAAAATCTTCTCGTTTCGATAATACTGAAAAACTAGAGATGATTCCAAAAATTTCTGATGGCTGTTGGATTCATCTTCTACATACGCAAATTTCGTCTATCACAAAAATCTCATGCCTTGCAGCCCAATCCTAGTCACACTGTATTGACATTTCATTTATACGGATCTATACGTGTTTGTCAGGAGCACGTAAACATACAACACGGCTCCCTCTACTGGTTGAAGAAAAAAACAATGACTACGTTCCCGGATGACCTACTCATCGAGGTGTACTTGCAGAGTTCGATTCTCCTTCAAGAAATACAAAAGGGTCATAACCTTACAGTGTCACGTCACGCACGAAGACAGGAGACATGCTCAGTAGAGGAAGCTGTGTTGTATGTTCACGTGCTCCTGTATTTGTCTAATGTGCATGTACTGAAAAATTTTTGTCGAACAGTCCAAGAGATGGCGACGAATCTTGAGAAGGTCCTTCAGGAAAGTTGAAATTGTGAATTAATATACAATATATATAAAAAATTAATATACGTTTGGCAATCTGAAATTTCAATCACGTACCTATTCATTGCGTTATTTCTATAATACCTGCAAATCACTGGACAAATTCTGCAGTTCCAAATGATTTCCAGACGTGAATGAAGTTTCCGAATGTGTACGATAAAAAAGTCTAACGCTCAGCCATAAAGCCAGAGAGCTGGTGACGAATTTGGTGCAGGTCTTCTTGGCAAGTTAAAATCGTGAATAAATTCAATTTCGTGAATCAAGTCCTGCTAGTATTCTGCGTACGTCTGCAAAAAAAACAACAGAAAAATAATATTTTGCTAATTGATTCTTTCATTCTTCAAATCATTATCAATAGAACTCGAAAATAAAATGTCAGACGTTTTCTTTCGCTATAGGGTATTACCAGACCTTTAGAAGAAAATTCTATCAAAATTCTCAAAAAATCAACTCTAGGCAATCTGAAATTTCAATTACGTATTCATTGAATAATTTGAATAATACCTGCGAATCACGAAATGAATTTTGCGGTTGCAAACAATTTCCAGACGTGATCAGTGTTTTCGAATGGGTACGACAAAAAAATCTCATGCGCAGTCATATTATGTGTGATGCTAATGAGACATAAGACAGCTGATGGCATTTGCAACTGAGAATTCCAAAGGAATTTTATTCCTTTTTCAAAAAAATCGAGAGTTGATCGAAAATAGAGAAACAAACAATTATCAAGCTTGTTGCATTCATTTTGGAGTAAACAATTTACCAAATAGTATTTTTGCCTTGCCTATTCCATTATTAACACAATTTGAATATTCTCTATCCATCGTGATTCATCCGTATATAGCCGTTAAGTCATCAGTTTCCATACGAATCATCGCAGCACTGATCTGAATCGATTCAAACTTTAAACCAAGGTAGTAGATGATATTACTCCTTGGGAGAGAGTAGGAGACTTTTTGGTTTGGTCAATGAAAGCACAACTAACTGTCAGGAGCCGTATATAACATTATATCAGCGTTAGAAACGAAAGTAAGCTTCTTTGAACAAACAAATCACAAATGGAATAGCAACCAATTGGAGAAGATATGGGAACATTAGATGATTTTTTCCCCTGCTACGATTGTTCTCACACAAAGTATTCTGTTGTTACCATCTTTGTCGCTTTCGATTCATAAACTGTATTCACGTGTGGTAATTATTCAAAATCGCAAAAACCGTCTGGCGATTCACAGGTATAATTGAAATTACTCAATTAATACTTGATACAAATTTCAGATCACCAAAAGTATGTTTTCGTTGTGATGAAATGTTTGTGGAGAGGTCTGGTGAGAAATTATTACCGACAAAAACGTATGGAATTATCCATTTCTCATTCGTTGATAAAACGGCGAAGCTTTGGAATTCTTTGACCTTGATAGTTTTTCTGAGAACCCATAACCTCCAATAGTTCTAAGAGAACTCCGACACCTACCTCCTCTGCTTATCCTTATTTTTTTTTTCGTTTTTTTTTCAAATATTAACGTTGCGCAGTAACGGAAAAACCGCGAACGGTTCACCAGACTTGCGTGACTGCATTCGCCAATTAACGAATTTATATTTTTCCACGATTTCAACTTTTCATGAGGACCTCCTGAAATCAATCAATAATGAATCTATCCTATTCCAGTTCACAAGTGACGTAGTTTTCATTCGATCTTCCATTCGTCAGGCAGAGCTCTCATCCCGACATGCACCAGTCTATTTGTATCAGTTTTCAGCTGGACCCAACAGATCTCCACAATTTCCAGGTAATATGTTCAACTTCAATTGAAAGCAAAAGCAAAGTTCCGGAAAAAATCACGTGAAGTGAAATTCATAATGATTTTTGGTTTGATGATCAAATATTACAGATAGGAATGATTAATCATGAATACGTAGGTTGATGACCCATTCTATCAATTCATGTACCTACACTGAAAAAAGAGAGAAGGTAGTGAAAATAATACGTTTAGTGGAATAGAAGACAGTCACTAAATTCATCTAATGATACCTCTAGCAAATTGTTGAATACTATACTATATCGAATGAAACCACTACATGATAGTATGATACATATAGTCTATTATGATAAAATTCTGTTGTGGTATCATTCAATGAATGTATTGACTGTTGCCTATTTTACTAAGCATTTGGAATTCACTACCTACTATTTCTCTGAGTGTATAGAAAACAGGAATGAGATTGTTTGAATATCAGAAGAAGCAGTTATCAACTTGTCCTATCAAAATTTCCAAAGGTTTTTGAATTATTACATTTTTTCCAGACAGTTTTGAGTTTGCACTAGTAGGATATGATCAAATCAATTTCAAACTCAAAAAATTGCTTTCTTTTTATCACATGCACTTTCAAACGCGATTATATAAGTCAATTACAATTTTCAAAAGATATCGTATTCAAAAATGACGACAACAGTTTTTAATCCGATGTTTTCAGGAAGGAATAGCCAGTGAAGTAGCTGCCTATAGTCGTGTTCTGGTTAATATTTCGTATAAGGTTATAGGCATCAATATTTAGTATCATGATTCCAGGGGCTCATTTTTCAGATCACAATAATACCTCTTGTGAGTGAAATTCCTTATAGGAACGAAAGGAAGGTTGAAGTCATCCCCACAATTCTTTGATGATGTTATTATTCAAGGGGACATGTTTCGGACTCATGGAAGTCCACCTCCAGCCCTCAAGAAGTGACCACAAGTAGAGACTAGGTGGAAGTACATACTAGAAAAAACTCAAATTTGACTTCAATGGAGGTGGAACCTTCTCAAATTTTTGTGCCATTGCCCATCATCATAATATCCCTGTTGAAATCTGAGAATAAACAGGTTTTCATGAACATGAGATGCCTCGTGTCCTGAGAGAACGCTCACCTATTATAATAAAAACTCACAAGAAATCATAGTTTCGAAAGAAAGCGCCGTTATTAAATCAGATATCAATAATATCGATAGGGCGAAACACCAAACACGTGTTGAATACAACGAATAAGAAACAAAAAAAATATGGAAGACAATGACATGAGTCAGAGTCCTTAATGACATGCCATAAGTCGAAGTCTTGAAAGGCATGATATGATAATTACGGAAAAAACGGCAATCAACAGGAAAATAATGTAATATACTGAGATCGCTGCGGTCGCAAATGGATAAATCTAACAATTCAAATTCTCACAGAAATGAAATAGAGATAACGAGCAGCATGAAAAAAATTCCTACAAGAATGAAATCTGGGAATGAAAAGAATTTGAGATTATAAAAATGATGAGACCAAGGCAGGTGCAAAACAACATGAGGCTAATCATGGGCTCTGGTGAACTCTAGAGCTAACAAACAATTCCATACAGTCGAAGTCTCTCTGTTTATCAAGCAATGTAACAGACTATTTGTTCAAAGACAAGTATATTTCAGAAATTTCCAATAGATTTGACTTTCTGACATACATGTGAAATTTTCATATATGGTTAATATAAAAATTAGGTTCAGCGTTTGAAATATGGTTTGCAAAAAAATTATAGGTATTGTGTTAGTCTGAAATGAACAGAAAATTCTAATTATTTCTTGATGGTTTTGACATGCTCCATAATTTTTCTTCGAATCTTTCTACCACTTTGGCCAACATACTGTGCATTAGGATGGGAACAAGAGATACTATAGACTTCAGATTTATGAATCAAGGCAACTCAATTTTTTGTTTTGACTAACATTTACGAGAAATTATCAATAGTGAGAAAAAGAAGGTTAATGTCGTCCATAAGTCGATGAAAAATGTGGTCGATCTTAGTAGAGACTTTGCCCAAGCAAGGAATAGAGGCAAAACGTTTTCTAGGGTTGTCCAAGGGCATAAAACTTCCATGAGTAGATCTGTTGAGATATTTGTTATAGATTATGTTATGATATTAGGAAAAAACCCTTATTGTGATCAATATGTTCGAAAATGTTGAATTCTTGATCGAAAACATCTGAATTTTTAGAAATATCACGAAGCCTATAAAGAAAATACTTGAAAGATGCAAATTTGTTTTGAATTGGGTGACATGAAGAGAAAAAAATTACTGAATCTGGGTGGGTTCGGTTTGCGGTGAATCAAAATTGAATTATTGTTCATCAATAAATCTGAAAGAGGTGCTACGCTGTTTCTGAATAAAACTAACTAATCACTGGAATGCAAGGGAAAGCACAGCAGTCACCGACTAACTCAATCAATGCTATGGGTTCGAACCAGAAAAATTTATATCGCGCCAGTGAATTGTAAGAGCCAGTTCAACTCACAGGCTGCTCCTGATATTGATGGAGAATTCCAAGTGATTGTAACAATAATGAGCGTTGAAATAATGAATAGAAAATAAATTAATGGTGTGGTGTGGTATGAAGACTACACATATCTCTCGAGTATAGGAAAGGTTGGTGGAATACAAAAACTCTGACAGTATATTTACAAACCTCTATTCAATGAATCATTCACTTCAGGAGAAAATACATGTACGTTACCCCAAAGCCCCTGGCAAGTACCAGACCAGGTAGATCTTCCGATGTCCCGTTGTGATCACAATGGGCTGACAAATGGAAGTGGTCCTGAAAAATATATATTAATGGGCTCGAGATCAGTGTCTCTAATTACTAGCCCAACACTCTATATATGAAGGTTTGATAAATATCACTGTTGAATATAATATGTATGTAAAATTTAGATTGAAAAGCTCTATGCAAATTAATTCCCGGAAACGATATAGTGTGAAGTTTGAAAAATAGAATTATAAAGTTGAGATACAGATATATATCTACATATATACAGTTACGGTCCTGTCTTTAACCAGTCCAAAAACTTCCTGTCCTGAATATTGAGGAGGATGCCGCACTTGTGTTAATTCAGCGTTGGATAGACGTGGCCTCCAACAAACACTTGAAGTAACCTCAAAGTTCTCAGCCTGATCTAGAGATTCAGAGTCAGATGTACCTGCTAGCTCGATGGTGCGGATGGTAGAATTAACCCGAAGGGGGTAGGAGTGAACCCTATGATAATGTAGAATTAAACATTGCAAAATTCTCAAACATACGGTACATACCTCAGCGTCTGGAGGGTTCAAAATGGCGGCATGTGACAACTCGTAAAAATCCCCAATATGGGAAATCTTCCTTTGTATGACAAATCACAATGACTCTACTAGTCCACAATAATAAAAGGAAGATTGTACATACAGGTAATCAATAGAAATCCACTATAAGTGATTATATATGATTATTGAAACCTGCTACGGTATCACAAGCCGACTCTCGTATCGTCACCACAGGAAAGAAGCCGTAACACCCGTTGAATTCGAAGCTTCACTTCAATTATGACAACTGTCAAACATTTGCCAAATCTTTGATGTTTATCGGTCACCAAGGATCCATAACAATGAAGAATAGCCAAATGCACAAAAATATTATACAAGGTGATCAGAAAAACAATATGCACGATATATTCTTCAACGAACGAACGTTTTTGGTATGCACACTGAGGATCATAGAAATAGTAGTAGTAGATTCTTCTCAATGAAATGAAGCAAACTCATGACTAATGAATAAAATGAGTACTTATGATTCTACTGAATTTGAACTGTAACAACTCCCCCTCTTCTTCCGGAGGAAGTGAAGTTCCATGAACTTTACTGACGATAATTAAAATGAATTTAAGTAACCAAGAACGAACGTTATTGATGAAGATACAATATTAGGATGATTAACCTAATCTGGAAAATTATTGTCGAGATTCGATTGATCCAACTTGAGATCTTGAACATGCCAAATCCCTTTTTGGTTTCCTTGCTCATCCTCTAACTCATAAGACCAAGCACCAATTTTTCTACGAATTTTAAAAGGTCCGACAAACTTAGGAGCAAGCTTCGCCGTGAAATAATTGATAGCATCAGACTGAACTCTGTTTCTTCGCCAAACTTTATCACCCTGTGCAAAAGTAACCATACGCCTATGGGAATCAAAAACTTTCTTACTACGGTCTTGGGATTTCAGAAGACGAGAAGAAACATCATCATACATTTTACGGAAACCTTTTTGACGCTGTTCAATATCATCAGTAGGATCCAAATCGTGTTCTGGTACCTGATTCAGATAATCTTGACCATAAAGTTTATATTTCCTACCAAAATTTATGAAATATGGACTGAAACCCACTGTTTCATGACGAGCAGTGCGAATAGCACAACCAATAGCAGCAAGATTCACATCCCAGGTTCGATGATTGCCCTGTACATAAGATGAAATCATAGTCTTTACAACTCGGTTGACTCGTTCGGTCGGATCCGCACGAGGCAAATAAGAAGCAGTATATGAAATATAAGTTTTATACTTTCGACACAAGTTCTGAAATTCTTTACTTTTCATGGGTCCACCATTATCACAAATAAGGTATTGAGGAGCACCATATACAAGAAAAATAGCCTCTTCCACAAACTTCGACAAAGACTTGCCTGTAGCAGTTCTCATCGGAGAAATTACAACGTATTTACTAAAGAAATCAGTAACAACCAAACAATGGACATGACCCTGTGATGATCGAGGAAAAGGACCCATAAAATCTAAACTTATCATCTGCCAAGGTTGTTGAATATTAGGACGAGTTCCCATAAGACCCGCGGGTGCTTTTTGCTCAGGTTTCTGTTCAGCACAAACTTTACAAGACTTTACATAATTCAGAATATCACACTTCATCTTAGGCCAATAATAAGAACAACGAATTTTCCAAAAAGTTTTGA